AATCATTCCCAAAGAGCACAAGTTAAATAATTGTCCAACATATTTCAAAACTGGTGTAAAAGCTATTATAATAAAGTTGTAAAATCAAAAAACTTCGCTAGCGGTTTGACGTTTGACGTAAACGTCAATCTTAAGGGGTCTTACCTGCATAGCATGAGAGATTGTCTTTGGCGTCCGTAACAAATTTATATCCTATAACTAGCCTAATTACTGGTTTAGTAAAAAAAATCATTGCATTTTACTATATCAAGTGAGTACATTCGCTTTTCGCGTATGAAAATATTATAGACGTATCACTTTTGTGATTGAATTCGTATCATCGTACCATCATCTGGCTGCATTTGCACTGCATACACACTCGTCAATGCATATAGGCCTATAGTTTGTTCAAAGAGCGTTGAAACTGTAAACCAAGCTTAAATGTTATATCATAAATAAAGATAACTAAGTCTGTCTGAAACAAGCCAATGAACCAACGAAGCTAAGGAGAAAATCTGGCATCTATGGGAAATGTTGATAGGCATCTCATTCGATTAAACTGAATGTTGAAGGATTTTCTGTAGAAGGAAAGTTTTATTGTAACTCGTACACAGTTTGGACGCCTGCTAAGTAGAAACGCAACTATTGTTTCGGATTGGATTCGAAACTGCGGCCTTGCAAAGGCTTGGAATTCTGCAACACCCGCAACACTGTATAACCGACAGAGCAAAGGAGTCAAGTTGTCAAGAGCATTGACCACAAACAGTGGTGCGGCCAGCCTACGAAATGCACATTTCAACGGCTATCTTTAAAACAGGGAACGGGGAATCGGGGAATCCGGGAATCGGGGAATCCGGGAATCGGGGAATCCGGCAATCCGGGAATCCGGCAATCCGGGAATCCGGCAATCCGGGAATCCGGGAATCCGGCAATCCGGGAATCCGATAACAATTTTATAAAAATTTAAATAAAAATTTTATTCAATTTACAATTTATGCAATAAAAGAAAATGAAGCTTAATCGAAAGTTTGACGTCACACCAAAATTGCAGGACACGAAGTCGTGAAAAAAAACAGTTCAATACTTTTAAACGGGCATTTAATGTAAACTTCACGCAGGATATAAACTAAAGCGAATGTGTAATTGCCATGATTGCGCTAAATTAAAGAGTTTCGGTATGCATTGTCGCCATTTTTTGTTGGCACTTACATGTAATATAATATTGCATTGCTTTGATTGTGATTGCGATTGTCAAATATAATAGCGGTAACACGTTTGCAAGTCGCTTTTTCCTGCTGACATTCATGATGTAATATGATATTTCATTGCTTTGATTGTGATTGTCAAATATAATAGCGGTAACACGTTTGCCAGTCGCTTTTTCCTGCTGAGATTCATGATGTCTGGAGTGCATGGAAGCCGGCTTTAAAATGCCATCGCTAATAAAGCGAAGGCGAATAGATCATGGTCTGCCTCCAACTGTAGTTTTACTAACCAAGACTGAAGACCAGAGATAAATTTGTACAACTGAAAGTCTGAAACTATACTTTAACAAAACTTTATTTGTAAATGTTGCGGAGTTTGTACTTTGCTCTCGCCTGATTATGTTTTTCGTGACTTCGAGTTGTATTTCAGGTAAAATCCTCCGACACCCCTCAACTTCAGATGCTTCGCTACGTGCCTCATCATCATCATCAATCAATTTTATTTAAAATCAAAACACGCTAGCCTCGCACAACTAAAAGCTGACTTACAGGAGGGGCGTGATATATAAAACAGTAGAATATATGGAATATTATATGAACCCCCCAACCTCCCCCCAACAACAAACTGAGAAAAATAAAGTGAAGTAAAGTAAATAAAGAGAGTTAACTATAATTAAATCAACATGGTTCTAAAAGGACAGTTCCGCAATACTACGCTTAAATTGACTGAGCGAAGTCGCTCTTTTTGCGCTTGCCCTCGTGCTTTTTGCGACCACAGAGCATGAACATGACCTGTTGTTGGTATCGGTATTCGAAGTCGAACTTAAACTCTCTATTTTCCCGTACAACTCGAACGGTCGAAGTCACGAAAAACATAATCAGGCGAGAGCAAAGTACAAACTCCGCAACATTTACAAATAAAGTTTTGTTAAAGTATAGTTTCAGACTTTCAGTTGTACAAATTTATCTCTGGTCTTCAGTCTTGGTTAGTAAAACTACAGTTGGAGGCAGACCATGATCTATTCGCCTTCGCTTTATTAGCGATGGCATTTTAAAGCTTCCATGCACTCCAGACATGAATGTCAGCAGGAAAAATGCGACTGGCAAACGTGTTACCGCTATTATATTTGACAATCACAATCAAAGCAATGAAATATCATATTACATCATGAATGTCAGCAGGAAAAAGCGACTTGCAAACGTGTTACCGCTATTATATTTGACAATCGCAATCACAATAAAAGCAATGAGATATTATATTACATGTAAGTGCCAACAAAAAATGGCGACAATGCATACCGAAACTCTTTAATTTAGCGCAATCATGGCTATTAAACATTCGCTTTAGTTTATATCCTGCGTGAAGTTTACATTAAATGCCCGTTTAAAAGTATTAAACTGGGTTTTTTCACGACTTCGTGTCCTGCAATTTTGGTGTGACGTCAAACTTTCGATTAAGCTTCATTTTTGTAAATTGAATAAAATTTTTATTTAAATTTTTATAAAATTGTTATCGGATTCCTTGATTCCCGGATTCCCGGATTCCCGGATTCCCCGATCCCGGTTTTAAAGATAGCCCATTTCAACTCATTATCATGATCATTATTCATTTCATCGGAAATTGATCGTTGTGTTGATAGTTTAGCAACATGGCAATATTTGCAGAGCGGGACTGAACTGTCCATCAACGCTTGCACCCTCAATAAATTGAAAGTTGTTGGTGAATAAATTTACTAATTGAACTGATTTTTTCTTTAATCTGGGTGACTTTTAGCAATTAATTTTTACAATGCAAGTATGATTACATCACTAATAGACAAAAATTATTTCGTTGCAATGTGTTGTGGTATGGCGAGGTGTGGCAACTTAGAATATGATGTGACATTTGTTTGATATAGCTCGATTGTTTGGTCGGAATTTTTATTTGTACCTTGCCAGTATAGTGGCTAGAAACTTGGGGGAAGTGTTCATTCATATCAGGCAGCTGCCAAGCCGTCAAATCCTGGGGGGAAATGTGTGCATGTGCATGGAAGCATAGTACCGGCATAAAATAGCATCAGATATTGTCTGCGTCAAGAACAAGTTATATCCTGACAATTAATGTTTTTACTGGTTTAGTAAAGAAATTGTTGTGCTTTATTACGTCAAGTGAGCATATTAGCCCTTAACGTATGACGATAATGAACTGAATCAATTTTATGATGGAATTCGGAGTACTATAATCTCCTGTATTTGCACTGCGCGCACACTTGTCAGTGCATAGTTTGTTCAAAGAACGTCGATAGTGCGAATGAAGCCTAAATTAAGATGCAGAAAATAAAGATAACTGATTTGCAAATAACATATAGCTGTCAAGTGTACAGTGCACCTAGCTCGATTTCAACGAATTTTGGAAAATTAAGCCTTTTCCAATTAGCGTAACAGTTGCCCATATACCCTTCACTGGCATCACCACACGCCTACTTTGTTAAATCTGGTACATTTTGGCAAATGAGATTTCACAATCATTGATCAAGCCTTTGTGTCCATTGTACCTAAGAAATGATGATGAATAAAGGTTTTTGTAAGTGCTTCCTTACTGATTCTCGCTTTCTGCCATGTTTTGTATTTATTCAAGATAAGGGCGCGATACTTAAACTAATCTCTAATCTTATAGATGATATAATATACCACAAAAACAATTCAACAAATGTTACACGCGTTGAACTGTTTACTATCGGTTGAACATTCAAAAAGTCTCGCTCTCTAGAATATTCTTACAAGATAATTATTAATTAAGCATCATGATTTTGTACATTTCCTGCACCCCTTTTTCCTAATTAACGGGAGTAACTTAGCCCGAACAAAATGAAGTTTTTACTCGTTTCAGCCCGAAAAACGTCACCGTGATTATTAGGTGTCGGATTATCTGGGACCGACTTTCTTGTACTTCACAACCAGTGGCAGTGCAAGAGGAGGTTTTATTTTGAGGAGGCATATTAATAGTTCCAGCTGAGTTGGGAACCATAGTTAAGATTTTCAGCCAGGTGCAAACACGGCACGCAAAACATGATTTAATTAACTGTAACAGAGTAGCATGATAGGAGCGTTGAAAACTAGGGGGGTCTGGAGGAGGCCCAGAAATGTCATTGCCTGCACGTTCCGGCACCGACTTGAAGAATTTGGACTATGTCAAACATTTATAGCTTCTGCACTAAACAACTCTCATAGCAGAAATTCGGGAACGACATTTGATACAGTTTCAATCAAAACTGGGACCCCCCCCCCCC